GGGTTGTGGGAACCCTCAACGTACAGCCACTTAGTCAGAAGAGTAACCCAGACGCGCCGTCGGTGCCTGAAGCAGGGCAATCCTGTAGGCTCCAGGCTAACTGGGTACTAGTGTCTGAATTGAAGTGAAACCCTGGACCCCCCTCCCCCATTGGTGTCTAAAGAGCTGGAAAGGTGGAGAAAAGGAGCAGACCCACATGTCTGGTGTCAGAATGCTGTGAAGGGAGAAACGGATCAAGGACTCCCTTTAAGTCATTTGATTAAGTGAACTGGTTAAGGACCTTAGTGACATCGTAGAAGCTCTTGCTTTTGCACTGAACCTAATCGTGGGAGAAAGTCCCACTGAGAGTCCCACTCAGGGGAGGGAATTATACAGGACAAGCACAGGGGGAGGGGAGAGGGGGGCACAGGGACGCAAAGATCTTACCGGCCTTGAATTCTGGCTGCTTTGACCAACAGCACGCAGTGGGAGTGATGTTGTGTACCTTCCAAGGCCAGGCCTTAAGAGACCTTGCAATGCTCTTCATCTCCTTCTTGGACTCCCGCAGCCCCATAAGGAAGCCTGAGCTGGATTGCTGAATCGTGATGGGCCCTGAGGGGAGCAAGGCCCAACCAACACCCAGCACTACGCTCCCGGACCTAGGAGTCAACTCCGGCCATGTCACTGATTGCAGCCACATGAAGGACCCTAAGCAAGACCATGTCAAAGAACTGTCCGGCTGAGCCCAGCCAACCCACAGACTCATGCAAAATAGATTTCGTGTATGAAGCCACCGGTCAGTGGTATTTTATGGGACGAATTGGTTTCATGGCACAGGCTAACTAAAACGCCCCCTCTCTGGGCAGCAGCCCACATAGTCCAGGAGGTTAAATTTTTCCCTTGCGATGTTGGACCAAATCTCAGGACAGACCGTGCAAGAGGTAGAAGAAACTTAGAGACGGACGAGGTGGAAGGGTTCGAAGTTGAAGGGACTTCCTCTCTTTAAAGCTCTTGATCCATCTGACCTCTCTACCTGGGATGCCTTTTGCATTCTTCCCTGGTGGGCAATTTCACCTTCATCTTCCAGTCAAGCATCCTCCCCTCCAAGGCAGTGGGTGGGCTCCCTTACCTAGGATGATGGTTCATTTGATGTGTCAGTTTGACGGGTGCCCAGATAGCTGGTGAAGATTATTTCTGGTGTGTCTATTAGGGTGTTTCTGGAAGAGATTAGCATTTGACTCAGTAAACTGAATAAAGAGATCCACCCTCCTCAATGAATCATGCATTGGATGCAGGCCTGAATAGAACAAAAAGGTGGCAGAGTGGCAAATTCTTTTCTTCTTGAGCTGGGATGTCCATCTTCTCCTGTCCTGGTTCCCTGGCTTTTGGGTTGGGCGGGGGGGGGGGGGGGGGGGGGGTTGGAGGTTAGGATATGATGAGGAGATAATCCTTGATGATTATTTGGGTGAGTCCAACGTAGTCACAAAGGTCCTTATTAGAAAGAGGCAGGAGGTAAGTCAGGGGAAGGCAAAAGTAAAGATTGGAGGGATGCAGCCATGAGCCGAGGACTACCAGCAGCTTCTAAAGGGAATGGATTCTTTCCTAGAGCTTCCAGAAGGAACCAGCCCTGGATATCTTGACTTCAACTCAGTGACACCGATTTGGGACTTCTGACCTCCAGGACTGTAAGATAAGAAATCTGTGCTGTTTTAAGCTATTCAGTTTAAGGTGATTTGTTAACAGCAGCCTTAGAAGCATTAGGAAATTCCATGTTTATCCTGGCCCTAGCCACACTGGATGGCGGGTGCCTCTCTGTCCTGGGTGAGACTTCCTCAAGCCTGGGGCATCTTTGTTTAGCTGCTTTAACACCAAACCTTAGAAAGGGTCACAAAAGCTGCTGAATGAATTAACAAGTGGATTTCATGTTTAGCCACTTTATCTGGCTGCCCATCTCTCTCAGCCTGAACACATACACACATGCGTATCCTCACAACTCGCCTGCCCATTCACCCCAATCACCCCCCGGGAAGGCAGCTCTGTTCATATACCAAAGCTTACTTGGAGCTGGTCAGAAAATAGCTCTTTTTCCAAAAATAAACGACTGGGACCTCATCAAGATTAAAAGCTTCTGCACGGCAAAGGAAACAACCTACAAAACGAATAGGCAACCAATGGAATGGGAAAAGATAGTTGCAAATGACATATCAGATAAAGGGTTAATATCCAGAATCTATAAGGAACTCACCAAACTCCACACCCGAAAAACAAACAACCCAGTGAAGAAATGGGCAGAAGATATGAACAGACACTTCTCCAAAGAGGACATCCAGATGGCCAACAAACACATGAAATGATGCTCAGCATCCCTACTCATCAGGGAAATACAAATCAAAATGACACTGAGATACCACCTCACACCAGTCAGAATGGCTAAAATGAGCAAATCAGAGAACACAAGATGCTGGAGAGTATGTGGAGAAACGGGCACCCTCCTACACTGTTGGTGGGAATGTAAACTGGTGCAGCCCCTCTGGAAAACAGTGTGGAGGTTCCTCAGGAAACTAACAATAGAACTCCCCTATGACCCAGCAATAGCACTGCTAGGAATTTACCCAAGGGATACAGAAATGCTGATGCATAGGGGCACATGTACCCCAATGTTCATAGCAGCACTCTCAACAATAGCTAAAACATGGAAAGAGCCTAAGTGTCCATCAACGGACGAATGGATCAAGAAGATGTGGTTTATCTATACCATGGAATACTACACGGCAATGAGAAAGAATGAAATCTGGCCATGTGTAGCAACATGGATGGACTTTGCGGGTGTTATGCTGAGAGAAATAAGTCAGGCAGAGAAGGACAAATATCATATGTTTGCACGTATAGGAGGATTAGGAGGAACTTAATGGAGGACCATGGGGGAGAAGAAGGGGGGAAATAGTGGGGGAGAGGGAGAGAGGCAAACCATGAGAGACTCTTGAATGCTGAGAACAAACTGGGGACTGATGGATGTGGGGGCAGGGAAGGGGGGATGGGCATGGAGGAGGGCACTTGTGGGGATGAGCACTGGGTGTTATATGGAAACCCACTTGACAATAAACTATTTGTAAAAAAGAAAAAAGAAAATAGCTCTTTTTCAAGAGCACATTGATTTTAAGGAAGGGGGTGTCTCCCAAGATAATAATTAGACAAATCTAATTTGTCTATTTAGATGCAGCGATGAGAAGCAGAAATTTTGACATGCTCAATGTGAAACTGCAAGATTGGTCTTGCAGGACAGAAATGTAAAAATGCTCTTTTCTAATAAGCAAGTAATGAAAGCAAGAGACATCCCGATCCTCACCACACCTCCATTTCTCTCCACCTCCACCTCAGCCCCACCACAGCCACGAAGATGGTGGCAAATTTTCCATTTAATGACACCAAAAGAGGTCCACCTTATGGGAGAAAAGCCGATTCCAGGCAGTGTGAATCACATGATCCCATTTTGTTAAAAAGAAATAAGTTAGGGGTACCTGGGTGGCTCAGTGAGTTAAGCCTCCAACTCTTGGTTTCCTCTTAAGTCATGATCTCACTGTGAGATGGAGCCTACCTTGGGCTCTGCGCTGACAGTGCAGAACCTGATTGAGATTCTCTCTTTCTCTCTCTCTCTCTGCCCCTCCCCTACTCTCAGATGCACTCTGTCTCTCTCAAAATAAATAAACATTGTTAAAAAGAAGTCACTTAAATATAGGTACTATGTATATACAATGTATCCACATGCATATTTACACGTGTTTATGTAAGTGTAGTGCAGAGGATGATTAGTGAAGATATTAATGGTTTGATGGAGATTATAGAAGTCGGGTTTTTTCTTTTTTCTTTGTTTAATTTACAAAGAACAAGACTGTTGGTGTAATAAAAAAAATAATAAAAGAAATGAAGCGTTTTATGTGGCAGGGCTGCTTTGTGTCCATTTCGGGCCAGCCAGGTCTCCTGGTCCCTCCTCGAATAGGAAGCTGGGGTCTGGTCTCCCTGTGAGCAATGGCGGAGCCATTGAAGGAACTGCAGGCAGCCGAACAGTGCAAGGCCAGGGGGCCTGGGAATCAGAAAACATAGAGCCACGGCCGTGTGTGTGGTTTCTGCCAAATGACCCAAGGATGACCCACTTCAGGCCTATTCTGGGGCGCTAGGAACCCATTCTTCCCCCCTCCCCCCCCCCCCCCCCCCCCCCCCCCCCCCCCCCCCCCCCCCCCCCCCCCCCCCCCCCCCCCCCGCAGCCTCTCTCTCCCTCCCCTCCCTGCCACGCAGCCCTCGCTGCGATCTTCAACCCGCCTCCCCTGGGTGAAGGCAGGTGCCGCCCAAGACCCGAGCGGGGCCAAAGAACAGATGCACAGGACCATCCCGGCCTTCCTCCACCCCATTCACTGCCCCCACCCCTCTTCCTGCGGTGGAGTTTTTGTTTTAATTCATCTGAACTGGTTACAAAACCACACTCCCACGAATACATAAATAATGGATTGGGGAGGAGGAGGGCAATGTTTTAAAGAAATTCCCGCAGGGCCTGGCAAGGCAACAGCAAATGCATTTCTGCTGTATCATATTTAACTGTTTGCAAACTTCTGCTGGGAAGATGCGCAGCAGCTGCAGAGACCCCATGGTCCTTCCCCTGCAGGGGCCTAGCGAGCCTTTCATGGGGGAGGTGTTAAAAGGAGGGAGACGTTGTCAGCTACCCGGGGCCGGGAAGATGGAGAGGGCAGTGAGAAGGTGTTGGTTCGACTGCGCTGCGCCTGACCAGGCTTCGCACAAGCCGAGCATCCACCGGGTTCCGGGCCCGGACTCCCGCCGCTAGGCGAGGCCCCTTTAAGAGCCAGCGCGCGCCCCCGCCCCGCGAGCGCACACTTTCCCTAGCAACCGCCCCGGGGGAGGGGGAGGTCCTGGCAACGGCGCGCCGGCCCCGAGGGGTCACGTGACGGCCCGCAGCTGGAACACAAGCGCGCGCCCCGCCGCGCGCCCGCCCGCCGGGGCCTGTGCGCTGCGGCGCGTGCGCGAGCGGTGCAGCACCGGCCGCGGGAGCAGGGAGTATTATGGGCTGTGGGTGCCGCTGAGCAAGATGGAGCTGTCTGCAGTGGGCGAGCGGGTCTTCGCGGCCGAATCCATCATCAAACGGCGGATCCGAAAGGTGAGCCGCCTCCCGAGGTGGGACGCCTTGCCCCGCAGCCGGTGTCCGGGTCCGCGGCCCATCAGGGCGAAGCGGTCCCGCTAACCCGGGCCCACTCCCCCACCCCCGCGCCGCCGCCTCCTCGCGTCCCCGCATCCTCCCCACCCCCACTCCCCCGTTTTTTTCTTCTCTGTTTTTCAGGGACGCATCGAGTACCTGGTGAAATGGAAGGGGTGGGCCATCAAGTAAGTGCCAGCGGGGTACAGGGGCGAGGGGGGAAGGGAGGCAGCAGGGCCTTTTTTTTCCCTGGTGGTGGGGGGGGGGGTGCGCACGTTTGCTGCCTCGCATGTGCCTCTGCCTGTTCGGTTTTCATTTTTATTTTGTGCATGGGTGACTCGGCAGGTACAGCACTTGGGAACCCGAGGAGAACATCCTGGACTCGCGGCTCATTGCAGCCTTCGAGCAGAAGTGAGTTTGGGGAGCTGGCAGGGGCGGCGGGGCCAGCGCTCGGCTGGGGCGCCGCGCGGGGAAGCGGGCGAAGCGGGCGAGCGGGGCGGGCAGCGCGGGGTGGGCCCCGGGAGGGGGCTCTTTTTAACCTTTGGCGTTTCTTGGCCGCAGGGAGAGGGAGCGTGAGCTGTATGGGCCCAAGAAGAGGGGACCCAAACCCAAAACTTTCCTCCTGAAGGTAACCTGGCCCAGCCCCAGCAGCCCCCTCTCGGGCCCCTAGCCCTGGCGCAGCACGAGGCCTGCGAGGGAGGGACAGATCGCGGCTGCCCAGGCAGGCGGACCTTTCCAGAGGGGCCCCTGCTGGGCAGGGGGTGGTTGTGAGCCCCCCGACAAGCCCCTGGCAGCCGGCCCTGGCCGGCTCCCGCTTCAGCAAGAGGGGCCTGCGAGTGGGAAGTGAGGGGAGAGGATAATTCTCGCTGACAAAACAGGGTCCAGGCCGGCCAGCAGGACTCCGGCATGGGGGGGGGGGGTGAGGCAGGTGGGGGCCGTGCACCTGAGGGGGCAGCAGGGAGGTTACTTCTGCCCATTCGAGGAAGGGGAACCTTCATCCACCCCGGACCTGGTACGGCGCTGCCTGGAATTAGAAGCCAAGAGGAGAGTAAATGTGGCTTCCTTCAGGGCTGGGAACAGATGAGGCACTTGGGGGCCACCTGCCTCCCTGCCCCCAGCTCCTTTCTCTCCCAGGATTTGTTCTTCGTGCCTCCCTTCCCCACTGGGGACTGCAGCTTGAATTTGACCTTAGATCACTTCACTTTGAGTTTATCACCGGCTGGGCCACTGCCCCCCCCCCCTCACCCCCCCAGGCTGGCTGTATCTGGAGATTGTAAGGAGATGGAGTGGAGGGAGTAAGCACAGCGGCAAGGGAGGGATACCTAGCTCCAAGGGAAGCCATCTTAGAGTTTCGTTTGGGGGGAGAGGGTATTTTATTTTTCCTAGTGGGAAAGAACAGAGTTGGAAAGGGAAGGTGAGATGACCCTAGAATGTAGGAGAGACGGCAGGCAGGCCTCCTCGGGAAACCACAGTCCACCCAGCAGTGCTAAAGTTGCCTTGGGGCTCCATCCCACCCTGACAGCCTGTGACTTTGTGGCGACTGGCTGAGGAGGGGCATGGAGCACTCTGCAGAGTGCAGAACCTCAGAATCTCCTATTCGCCCAACAGGCCCAAAGCCCAGTGAGGGTGCGGTGGGGCGGGGCTGACGAAGCCCAGACCCAAAGGTCTGTGCATATGTAAGACTTTGGACTTAAAGCAGACATGAAAGAATCCTCAGTTTCCACATATTTCCGTGACTCCTGTTCCCAACCTACGCTCAGGGATCCTTGGAGGAGCACACTTAACCCTTGATGCTTCTTAAGGAGGAGGGATGGGGCGGAGCAGCTGGAGGGCGGGTGGGCTGTGTGACAGCCTGTCGGCGCAGCGGGAGCGCCCTCTAGCGGTGAAGTGAGCAATGACCACAAGCTTCGATTCACAAAATACTTTTCCACCCCCCACCCCCCCCTTTGGGAGCCCTAGCTCCTGAGCTGGCTCTGGGCCTAACACAGTGCTGAGGCCCCACATGGATTATCTCCTTTAATCCTCTCAACCACCCTGTGAAGGAGCACTGTTCCCATTACGCAGATGAACAAAGCCAAGGCCCAGAGAGGGGAGGGGACTTACGGGAGGTCTTCTGGCTTCATTCCTGCTTCTTTTCTTTACCCTGTCCCTCAGAGAGCACGCAGCAGGTTAAGGGGACACGGTGGACGCACACAGGAAACCGTGACAGTTGCCGAGTTGGTGGCGCAGGGGGTGGAGAGGCAGATGACGATGACGAGACCTTGACCTGGACCTTTCGACAGTGATAATAGATATTTGCAGGGGCTGGCAGAGATCAGCTTGATCTGAGCCCATGGCTCTGAGAGTCACTGACAGCAGTGTGTATAGGAAACAAAGTATTCTCAGCACTTACTTTCTGTGTTCTGAAGGGGACGGGAGCCCATGAGGTAGGTTATAATTTTACACAGAGAAAAACTGAGGCCAGGGAGGTTGTGTAATTTGCCCAGGGTCACAAAGAGCCAGCGGTGGAGTCCTGCTCTTTAACCTTCTGTCCTGTTTGTAGAACCCAACCCCTCAGAGCCGTGCCTGTTGCCCACCAGAGTGCCGTAAACACGTTGTCTGTGGCTACCATTTTTAATTCACGGCCAGACCCCGGTCCCACTTTTAAGAGAGTTCTCAGCCTGGGGGAGGGGAAAAAAAACACCCCAGTCTCTTTTCAAAGAAATAATATGGAGAAATTCTAAAGTAAGAAACGTTTCTCATAAAAAGCTTGGAAACCGTACGTTAGTGAAAGATTATTGCTTATAAGCTCCGCCCCCCCCTCCACGGATAGATAAGTCTGATATTGCTCAGGTAGCTGCTACACGCCAGACACTGTGCTAAGCAGGTAGCATATATGACCTGACGGTACATGATGGCCCGCGGAACCAGTTTCAGCATTGGCCAGAGGTTTACCCACACTCTCTGCCGCTCTGCAGGGACCCTCACCACTGGATTTGGGCAGAACTGTGATTACAGAGGTCTGGGAGCTCAGGCAGCGTGCGAATGGCATGAATGCCCGCCCCCCCGAGGGAGAACAGAAAGAAGGGAGATTCCCTCCCCAGCTCCCTTGGGGATGAACTTGCAAAACACCCTGCTTGCCGGACCGAGGAAGAAGGCTAATTTTCTCCTTCCTTGGTCTGAGGAGTGGTTTGTGGAAACCTATCCCTGGTTGCACGGGCTGGTGCACGGAGCTGGCCCGGGGCAGGCGGGGCCCATGTGTGCTGCCACCTAGTGCCCATGGGGACTGTTAGCCAAGCAGCCCCCAGGAGAACCCCCGGTGTGGCCAGGAGGGCCATGTGGCGTTAAAGCGAGTTTCCACTACATTCTAGACATTCTTGCTAAGTCAGCAAATAAGTCAGCAAACCCCACCCCTGGGGGGTTGTGGTCAAATACAATCTAGTTTGGTCTGAGGGGCGCACAGGCGACCTCCCAGGGACGGGCTAAGTGTCTAGTGCTGTGGGGTGGGATGTGAAGAGACCCCAAAGCACGGATCTCACTCTCCGGGAGCTCACAGGCTGCCCGTGGGAATGTGTCCCCCCTCTCGGCCACCACTGTCTCCCACCTGGACTGAAGTAGACACAGCCTCGCGAGTCTCCCCCACCAGGAGCCAGGGTATCTGTAGATGACAGATCTGTCATTGCCTCCACTCTCTCCAGCCATTGCTTTCAGTCCCTCTCACTGACTGGGCTCTTGGCTTCCACTGTTTTCTTAGTGGCATCCCTCCAGCAGGCCACGGAGCCTCTGCAGGCTCAGAAAGGACCACGGCTCCCTCCTCCTTAGGCTTCATCCTCCAAGATGGGCCCTTGCCCCTGACCTCTGCTCCTCTAGGCCCCGTACATCCTTTCTTATATTGAGTCACCCAGCGTCCTAATGGCCTGTGACCTGTCTTCTTGGAGCGCAGCCCCTGGGGGAGAGGCTGTGTGTGGGTATAGTTCCAACTCCCAGCAGCTGGCTTGTGACTAGTGTTCTGTTAGGGAAGGAAGGATTGGCCACGGAGGATGGTTTTTATGGCTTCATGAGTCGCTAACCCTGAACTTGAAGTCTCCGAGGGCCCTGCCACATCCCACCTCTTCAGTAAGATGAACTCCTGCAGAGCTCTGGGGTTTTACCCACCTCAGCTGAGCCCAGGAGCCCAGGACAGTTTCCCCTGGCTTCCCACAGACTTCACTCCGCCGTCCTGCCCTCAGGCCTCACGTTGGCACAAATCCGAAGCTGGTCCCACCTCCTGGTTCATCTCCCCCAAACCCGTGTCTCACCAGGGTGGGTTCCAGCAGAGGCTTTAGGAATCTGTTGGCACAGATTTGCTCAGGCCCAGGCCCTGAGCCAGATCCTGGGCAGACATGAGTCAGACCCAGGAGGGGAAGTGCAGGGGTCTGCGAGCAAACAAGGAGGGGCTGAGAGAGCCAAGGGTCTGTCCCAGGGGTGATGGTCAGCTGGGGAGGCAAGTCCAAACTGGAGGTGCAGACAGTTCAGCAACAGAGGACACAGAGCATTTGGGGCCCTGTGAGTAGGTCAGTAGCGCTGGGTTGCGGGGTGAAGCAGGGAGGGGCCTCCCCCTTCTTCCTGTCCCCAAGAACCAGTCTGCAGAGGAGTGCCAGGCTAGGCCAGGGTCTTTCACCGAGCAGACTTGGTCTGGGGCTTCTGAGCAAAGAGCTGTTCTTGCCACGTCGTGTCCTGATTGCGGACACTCCTCTGTGGGAGCACGGCTGATTCTCTGAAGGGCTTTCAGGACGGTGTAACAGGACGGGACTTGTGGGTGGCTGGCGCAGGAGTCCCCGGGGGGGGGGGTCAGTGGGAAGCCGAGCCTCCCCCCCGCCCCGCTCAGCCCTCCCCTCTGCCCCACAGGCACGGGCCCAGGCTGAGGCCCTCCGCATCAGTGACGTGCATTTCTCTGTCAAGCCAAGTGCCAGCGCCTCCTCGCCCAAGCTGCACTCCAGCGCAGCCGTGCACCGACTCAAGAAGGACATCCGCCGCTGCCACCGCATGTCCCGTCGCCCCCTGCCCCGCCCGGACCCCCAAGGTGGCAGCCCTGGCCTGCGCCCGCCCATCTCGCCTTTCTCCGAGACGGTGCGCATCATCAATCGCAAGGTAAAGCCTCGGGAGCCCAAGCGAAACCGCATCATCCTGAACCTGAAGGTGATCGACAAGGGCACGGGCGGAGCGGGCACCGGGCAGGGGGCAGGAGCCCTCGCTCGGCCCAAAGTCCCCTCCAGGAACCGCGTCATTGGCAAGAGCAAGAAGTTCAGCGAGAGCATCCTGCGTACCCAGATCCGCCACATGAAGTTGGGCACCTTCGCGCTGTACAATAAGCCCCCGCCCGGCCCTCCGCCTCCCCCTCCAGCGGGCAAGGCCGACGCTGCCGCCTCCCCGGGCCCAGGGCTGCTGCTGGAGGCCCCCGCCGCCCCCTACGACGCTCGCAGCTCCAGCTCCTCTGGCTGCCCCTCGCCTGCACCGCAGTCCTCCTCTGACCCTGATGACGCACCCCCCAAGCTGCTCCCGGAGACCATGAGCCCGTCTGGTCCCGACTGGCGTGAGCCCGAGGTGCTCGACCTGTCCATCCCTCCTGAGGTGGTGGCCACCAGCAAGCGGGTGCCTCCCGACGCCACGGCTGCGGCTGCCACGGGCCAGGCACTTCCCGTGGCCCCTGAGCCTGCCGGCGCCTCCTCCAAGGCCGAAGCCGGGGACTGGCGCCCCGAGATGTCACCCTGCTCCAAAGTGGTTGTCACTGATGTCACCAGCAACCTTCTGACAGTCACCATCAAGGAATTCTGCAACCCTGAGGATTTCGAGAAGGTGGCTGCTGGGGTAGCAGGTGCCACTGGGGGTAGTGGTGGCAGCAGCGGGGTGAGCAAGTGAAGGGGCTCCACTGAGGAGGGGGGGCTGGGGGGGCCCTCCTGCCCAGAGCCCTGCTCTCGCCCCCGCCCCTGCCCTCAGACACCTCTGCCCGTGCTTTGCTTGTTTCAGATGGCTCAGCGTTGACCCCCAGAGGGGGCTGGGCGGTTGGAGCCCCCTGAAGCCCAGGGGAGACAGTCCCGGGACAGATGTGGGTCGAGATGGGGCCAGGGCACCCGGAAGTCCTCCTCCTTGTCTCTTGGCACCCTCCAAGCCCATGCATGGTGGGGGCCCGCCGGGGGGCTCCTGGGGAGCCCCAGAACCCGGAGCTCCGCGCCTCCTCCACATCCCGCTCTGTCTCTCCCCGGCTTGCTTCCAGCTCACACGCACAGCATCTGATTCCTCGGTGCTACCCCGGCAGCTGCGGGGCCCCTTAGGAGCCCCCTTCCCCGTATGGGTTCTGCCCTTCCTTCCCCCAGGTGCCTGGGCAGGAGGGGCAGGGGTGGCAAAGCCCAGACAGAGGTTGGGGCGGGGCCAGAGGCCTGGGTCTTCCTGCCCACTTTTGGACACGACACAAGCAGGTCCCCTTAGGCCCCGCCCCACCCTGTCTCTGCCCCTCCCCTCTGGGAGGTGGGAGGGACTGGCAGGGACCTCCCCCTGCCGCAGCCTCCTAGCATCTAAAGGCCCCGTTCAGTTCTCGACCAAAGGTGCTACCAGAACCTGCTGTAGAAACTTCCGGCTGGCGCACGTATCTGCCGCCCCTGGGCGTGCCTGTGCGCCCACCCATGGGTGCGCTGGGCCCGGCCTTTCAGGCGGCCCCCTTGAGGGTTCCGTGGAATAGGGTCGTCAAAGGCCTGGACCTTTCCTTGCCCAGATCTGGCGCCGGCCCGAGGTGTTTGCTGTGGGGCCACAGGCCCATTCCCCACCCCCACCCCAGCCCTGCACCCTCCTCCGATTGGTCGGCGCCACCAGCTGGGCCTCTGGCGCAGACTAGGCACGGCGGGGACTGAGGTGGAAGGGGGAGTACCCCCCCAAGCCTTCCCCTCCCCCGCACCCCCTCCCACTCCGTGCCTGGGGGAAGGAGGAGGCTGGAAACCATTCCCTTGGGGTCTCCAGCTTCCCCTGCCCCCTCCTCTCTTGCTTCAGCCCCTGGGGCTTTCTCACTGCACAGCCTGCTCGGAGCAGGGGACAGCTTTGGCCCCCCGCAGCTTTTCTTCTCTCTGCTGCCAGGGAGCTGAGGTGTCCGTGCCAATGGCAGAGACCCCCCCCCCCCCCGTTTTAGGCCGGGCCGTGGGAGGGCAGGCAGGCCAAAGGGGGCGACCAAAGAGGGGGCCTGTGGTCTTCTGGAGGGGGAGGGCGTGCGGGGCCAGGGCTTCGGTGCGCTGTGGGAGGCGGCCCCGCTGGCCACTCGGCTCTCAAGCTGGCGTGGGCGGCGTGTCCCTGCCTGTGGCTCAAGGGAGCTTCCTGGTGTGTGGCCAGAGGTGTGTCAGCTCAGAAGCGTGATGGCAAAAGGTAGGAGGACGCAGAAAGGGAATCCTGTTGGGTAGCAAATGCCTTTGTCCGAAGTATGGGAGCACTCTGGGAGGACTCGCTCTTCCCAATCTCCCTGCCAGGGGCTATGGGTGGCCCCTGACCCTCCCCACCCCAGGATGTAGAACAAGGGCCCTCACAGGGTTTGGGGGGCTGGCACTCCTAGACCCCTCCCCACCCTGCCCTTTGTGTCGGCTCCGTGGCCGTCCAAGTGCCAATTGGCTTTCCCCCCCTCCCCCCAAATAAGGGCTGGTATTTCTCCTCTGTGCTTAGAGGGGATTTCCCCCCCGACCCCTCACCCCAGGTGAACGACCACCTGGGTGCCAGTTACAGGTGTTTCCAGAGACCATAGAAATGTGTTTTCCTGAGAGTCCGTGTCATTCGTGACTTTTTTTTGTAAAGAAGTTGTGTTTTCAGAGGTGATTTTATGACAGGAAAGTGAAAGAATTAGTTTTGCAAAAAAACAAAAAACAAAAAAAGAGGAAAAAAAGAAATAGAAAAAAATATCATGGGATTCCTATGGGGCTGGGGCGGGAGTGGGGGGGAGAGAAAGATATTTAAAGAAAAACTAGTAAAGCAATGATTGCACAGGCGAGGTGGCAATGTTGGGAACGGGGACGGAGGCCGAGGGCCGGCTGCGGGTCCCTGGGGTCCCTGCTCTGTCTCCCTGGCCCGAGGCAGGGAGGCCTCCCTCCTGTCCTGGGGGCACACACCACACCTCCCCTCCTTCAAAGGGAAGGAAGACAGCTGACCCCAAGGGAACTAGCCAGAATGGCAAGGGCCCCGCAAATGGAGCCGAGATTGGGGAGGGGGAGGTCCTGCGGGGGCCCCACTGTTGCATCATCGGTGACTTGGTCCAGGAAGGCTGGTGAGTAGATACAGTTGGGTTCCTTGCTCTCTTCCAAATTCATTTGCCGGCGTGTCGGGTCATCTGGTCCCTCCCTCCCCATCACTCCCAAGACCAAGACCCTGACACCCCTGGGCTTTCCTGGCCGGGTGGGGGAGGCGGGCTTCAGGAAGACAGGAGCTGTGGACTCTGGGAAAACCTTAGGCGGTGACCCAGAGGGACCGGGGCGGCGGGGGGGGGGGGGGGGGAGGCGGTAACCAGCGGGGGAAGGGAATGCCTGCTCAGGCCCTCAGCCGTGGGGCCCCCGCCCACCTCGGCACATGCAGAGGCACGCAAGCGCGCTGCTTCGAGCTGGGCACCTCCCCTGGGGGGTCCAGGTGGGCACAGGGTCAAGAGCAAGCAGAGCCCTCCTACTTCTCTGAGGGTGGCTCTGAGCGGGAAACCCATACCCTACCCACCCACCCCCACCCCCACACACACACTTGCACGATTCAGCCTTCTCCGGGCCCTCCCTCTCGCTGCTTTTCCGTTTGCCTAATTACCAAGCAGAAGTTGCATTCTGGTTTGCTTTATTTTTATATGTGAAATATCCCCCAAAGCCAGATCTCTTCCCATGTTCAGTATCGGTTGGGGCATCGGTCCTTTTCCCCTTAATGCCACCTCCTCCCTGCCCACGTGTCACAGGAAACAGGTGAGGTCTGGTGTCTCTGGTTTGAGATGGGAAGTTGGGACAGACACATCCCTGTCTTCATTTCTCTCTCCGACCCTCGGTGTGCCCTGCTGTGAAATGGGTGTATTGGGTGGCAAGGCCTCTTTGTAAAGCACTGCAGGTGTCCAGGCAGCCACTGAGGATGGGGTGCCGATCGAGGCTGCTGGCACTGGGGTCTCTAGCCTCCCACGGCCCCATTTCATCTCTGCCCTGCACAGGGGTCCAGGGCAAAATGAGCTGTATCCTTCCACTGCTCTGGAAAGAAGTGATGATCAAGGCCCCATCTCAGTGTGAGGTGGGCAGAGAGCACCCCATTTAAAAGACCAGGAAACGGGGGCCCCAAGAGGCAAAGCCGCTGCACTGGGGTGAAGAGCCCAGCTGCCCTGGCATTTTGCAGAAAGCCCCTTCCAAAGGTAGGGGCTGGCGGTCCTGGGTCAGATGCCCGCCCTGAGCAGGAAGCAGGTGGGGGGGCTGGGCCACTGCCAGCCTCTTTAGCCTCCGTGGGAACCTGAGTGGACACACCACCTTTCTCACCTTTCTGGGTTTTGTTGTTTTTTGGGGGTTGGGGTGGGTTTTTGGGTTTTGTTTTGTTTTGTTTTGTTTTGCACTTGGCCCATGCCAGACAGTGGAGCCCCACAAGGTCAGTTCCACTTTCCGGCTCCCATGCACTAGCCCAAGGCAGCCTCTTGGGGGCTTGTATGGTTTAAGGAATCACTTTTAAAAAGAAAAGGAAAGTGTTGAAAGGTTTTTGTTTTTTTCTGTCTGCATCTCCTCTCAGACTCAGAAAGGAGTTTGGGGCTAAAACCAGGAGACGGTCCCCCTAACCTGCCTCCATCTTGCTGACAGTCACCAAGATGCCGAAATAGAGAGACAGGCCAAGGGGGGACAGAGGACCCCAGCTCCCAGCCCTGCGGGGTCTCCCCGCCCCACCTCGAAGGAGTCGGTACCCCACTCCCAACGGCGAGAGAGTGCCAACTGTATGCAGAGCTTCAGTTAGGTAAAGGGAGGCTGATGGTGTCACAGGGGACCCCTTGGGAGAGGTCAAGGTAGAAAGAACGAGGAGTTCTGGGGCCTGCCCCTGGCTGTTGGGTGGAGTGCAGATGGACACTTTTTGTTTATTTTAATTTAAAAACACAAAGGCCTAAAGAAATGTATCTTATAATTTTAATTTTTGAAAAGCTCATTTAATGAATTGTGCACGAATGAATTCTATATATATAAAATATACATATATAGCTCTATATTTGGGGAGGGGCGCGGTCTCTTTTCTCTCTTTCTCATTTTAAAAATGAAGTGTTGTTGCCTTTGTCTGTGGTTCAACCATCCAGCTCCCAGCTGGCTAAACTTTGCCTCCAGTGGTTAAAGAGAGGGAACCTGGAAATGGAGTGTCCCCCCCCAGCGTGGGGTGGGGCCCCCAGTCCACCTGCCCCCTCCCAGAGGTTGCTGGTGGAGAAGACGGCTCGTTTTGGGTGTGGGCTTTGGTTCTGTTCTGGATTCGGTTGTTTCTGGGCCGGGGGAGGGGGTTTGTGCCGATTACTCTATTACTCTCGTCTTGTACGTTTAGTTCTGCTGCTCTTCAATGTTGTATCAATGCCAGGAAGGGGGAGTGAAAAGCCTCTTTTGCCCCCCCAAATAAATTGTCACATTCCGAAGCTAAGGTCTAGCCCCTAGGGAGGGCCTGTGTTTGTCTCATTTCTTCCAGGCTGTGACTCTGGTCTTTACAAACATCAGGCCTGGGGCTCCTGGGGGGCTCCTGGGGGCCTCAGTCGGTTGAGCGTGGGACTTCAGCTCAGGTCATGATCTCGCGGTTTGGGAGTTCGAGCCCCGTGTCGGGCTCTGTGGTGACAGCTTGCGCTCTCTCTCTCTCTCTCTCTCTCTCGCTCTCTCTGAAATAATAAATGAATAAATTTTAAAAAAACAAATAAAAGCAACAGGCCAGGGACACTTGGGTCACTAGGTCAGTTAAACGTCTGACTCTTTTTTTTTCAATGCTTTATTTATTTCCGAGAGGGAGCGAGAGAGACAGCGTGAGCAGGGGCGGTTCAGAGAGAGAGGGAGATACAGAATCTGAAACAAGCTCCAGGCTCTGAGCTAGCTGTCAGCACAGAGCCTGACGCGGGGCTCGAACCCATGAACCGTGAGATCATGACCTGAACTAAAGTTGGATGCTTAACCAGCTGAGCCACCCAGGCGCCCCAAACGTCTGACTCTTGATCTTAGCTCAGGTCTTGATCTCAGTGTCATGAGTTGAAGCCCCGTATTGGGCTCTGTGCTAGGCATGAAGCCTACCTTAAAAAAAAAAAACTGAAAAAAACCCCACCAAAACATCAGGCCTGGCCTCTCCTGCTGCAGGGGAGGGGCAGGGCTGCTGGCCCTCCAGCTGTGGCCCATTTCCTAGCTCGCCACCTCCTACCCTCCTTCTACCTCAAGACCTGTAAGTGAACTGAGCTGGAGGGGAGGACCCTACGCAGGTAAGGCCAAGGTGCTGCCACTTGCCAAGGGCCGGGGATGAGGGAGGGGGAGGGGCCCCTGCCCGCGCCCCACTTGGAGTCACAGCGGCTTCAGCGGAGGGGGCCCGTGGGGCTGGGTCCCTACCAAGGTTCTTGCCACAGAGCTTGGGAGAGAGCAGGCGGGTTCCGAGAAACGTTTTGTCTTCGGGATGCTCGGGTGCCCTTTCTTGATTAGAGGAGCCCTGTCCCCACATTGGGCCACTTCATGGGCTCAAAAGCAGCAGTGCCAGGCAAGCCCGTACCTTCCTCAAGGCCTGTTGCTCTGCTCTTGAACCACACCTTTGTCCACCCGTAGCCCCCCGTTGGCCAGGCCTTGAGCAGGTGGCACCCCAAATCCTCCCCTCCTACGGCACCCCCACCCCCTGTGAAGCCCCCACCGGCGTTTCGCTTCTCAGGTGTTTCCCCACCAGCCCGCCGGGGCTTTGGCAAGGCCTCTCTGGTCTGCCAGTCTTCGTTCTTGCCTGCATGACCCCTAATTCTTCCACACCCGTGCCGCTGGGGGCTGGCGGCTCCTGCCGCAGGCCTCTTGGGAGCCCGCTGCCCTCAGGATCAGGTCCTAGGACCTCCACCTGGCAGCCCACCAGGGTGCTCTTCCCTCCCACCCTCACCTTCTCTCCAGGTGCCTCCTGGGCCTCCACCTGTGGGCTTGGCCCCCCAGGTCCGTAAGGGCCCGGCCGCATCTACCCACAGCTCACAGCCTAGCGTCTGAGACACGCCAGGCCCTCCGTGGGTACCACCTCCCTCGCTGATGGGGTCGCTGGGGCTGGGGAGCGGCGGGGCAGCAGACCCGGGGCCCCAGCGTGACTTGTCCAACTGGCCCTGGGCTGGCAGGACTGCTGGGAGCGTGTCCCTGCCCGCCACTGGTCCCGGGATGGGTGGGAAGGGGAGTGAGGGACGTGGAGTCAGGGCTGGCCCTCCTCCGTGGCATCTCCTACCTCCTCCACGCCACCCCTACCCTTCCTCCACCTCCTCTCACCAGTGCACCTACTACCCGCAGAGCACCAGTGAGTGCCTTACTGGCTCCCTTCACCCCTTCCCCTCCCCTCTCCCCTATTCCCCTTCCCCTTCCCCCCTCCCCTCAAATGAAGAGCAATGTCACTTGGCCTGAAGTGGTACCGCCCTAAGTAGTAGAGGGGTCTTTGCTCCCGACTCCGCTCTTGCCTTCAAGCCCCAAGCTCTCTGGGACTGGTCACAGGAGGGCTGCCTTCATGAGGAGCGTGTGTTCAGAGATTTAGAGTCACTGCTGTCCCTTGTCACAGCCATGCCATTACTAAGCAGCGACTTCTGTGCCTTAGTTGCTGGTGAATGAGTGTGGCCACAACAGCTTCTCAAGGAGGACACGGGTGGGACCACGCATCTCCTCTCAGAGGACAGGCTGCCCTGTTGGAAGTGTGTCAGGGTCACTGCTGGAGCCACAAGGTTCATCTGCCCCATGGTACCTGGCCTAGCCCCCCCCATACTATTGGTGGGGCTCCCCAGGGGCTCCCCAGGGGGTACGGGTCAGCCACGTGATGCTCAGGACTGGGATGAGGGAAGGATGGGGGGTCGGGATGGGGCGAGAACAGGTTTGCAAAATCACTGCCGTTTTCCCAAAGCTGTACGTACAGTGGGTCTTCTGTCCTGTGTGAAGTGAAGTGGGGGGGTCAGCGTAGCATTCCAGCAGCAAGCCCCCCTCAAGCCGGATCGCAGGCGTCCTCTTTGTTCAGGCTTTGGGCTTCTGAGAGTTCACACTTCAAAGAGGGTTCTGGCTCTGATGGCTCAAGGCCGCCCGATCCACGCAGGGGGTCTGCAGAGGAAGCGGCAGGTGAGAGGCCCTGCCCTGCAGACACCGCGGGCTCTGAGCCTCTCCAGTCACAGAAGGGATGAGGGAGGAAATAACCCTGGTGAGCGATAATGAGGCCTGGACACAGCTGAGGCTGTGGGGACGGTAGGAAGCAGCCCGAGCTGAGAGATAGTTGGAATATTGGGTGTGTTGTGATGGCTCCCATGGCTTACAAGAGGGATCCTCTGAAAACCTCCTGGTATCTGGTGGGCAAAGGAGCGGGTGTTGATGCCACTCACTGGTGGGCTGGGGAGCCTGGTGGAGGAGTGGACTTGGGAGGAGGGTGAGTGGACTTGGGAGGAGGGTGAGTGTCGTTTGGGACAGTTGGGGTGTGAATCGGGAGGGATTCTGACCCATAGATTTGAGGCTCGGAGCAGCAAGTTCCTGCTCACCCAGGCACTGCTGGAAACATCTTCCCTCCGCTAAAGAGCCTTCGGCCCCAGGTGCACCTCAGCTCTGAGATGTCTGCTCTCTAGGAACTTCAGGGCTTAGCTCCAGAGGCCACTGGGATGCCCGGCCCCTGCCCAGCACTCACCCGGCAATCTCATGCCTTTCATCCAGGTGAGATTGTGAGGATGATAAACCCCATCAGACAGGCGGGGCCAGGGGGCTTCCCAGGGTCGCTCAGAGGCTGGAGGAGCGGAACCAAGGTCTTGGGCATGGTGAATGGAACTTTCTGAGGAGCCTACTGCTACTTGGAGGTACTCGCTAAGCCATAACAAATATTCTTTTAAATGCCCAGCCAGATTTCATTCTTTCTCGTTGCCATGTAGTATTCCATTGTATAGATATACTGCATCTTCTTGATCCGTTCATCGCAACATGGATGGACCTTGAGGGTGTTGTGCTGAGCGAAATAAGTCAGGCAGAGAAGTACAAATACCATATGTTTGCACATATAGGTGGATTAGGAGGAAGTTAATGGAGGACGAAGCGGGAGAAGAAGGAGAAAAATAGTTGGGGAGAGGGAGGGAGGGAGGCAAACCATGAAAGATTCTTGAATGCTGAGAACAAACTGAGGGCTGGGGGGGGTGGGCATTAAAGAGGGCACTTGTTGGGATGAGCACGGGGTGTTATATGTAAACTAATTTGACAATAAACTATTTAAGGAAAAAAAAATCGAAAGAAAGAAAGAAAAATAAACAACAACAAAAAAATTGCCCAGCCGGGCTTCCAAGCCAGTGAAGACATCCCCAGGGACCATAAACAAAGAAGAAGCCAAACTCAGAGTGATAAGCAGACACCAGTCCTTAGCCCTGCAGGGCGGGGTCTGCGGATGACCCGGGGTCAGGTGTGGGGAGGTGGCGGCCTTCGATGACCTTGGTAACCAAGGAGCTTGTTTTCCATCTATCTATACGGGGATGGGAGACAAGGCCTTGTGAGCCCTTGCCAAAAGAGATTCGACACCAAGACACCTGAATAAAGCATATCCTCACTGACAAGGCAAATGGAGTAGAAAAAAATTGCCCTTTTGCAAAACAAAACCAAAACCAAACACACTTGTCAGAGAAGTTGTCTCATTTCTGCTGGAAAAATAAAAATGAAGTCTCTCCTGAGAAATTTTAACTCTAGTATTTCCCTAACACACATTTGAGATTGGAAGTTGCATTCTCCCTATGCTCCCAGGACTCCTAAGTCTGGTGATTAACACACAAAGCAAATGTGGCGTGGGTTATATCTGCAATAACAAATGCAAGGCTCCCTGGAGGGACATTCCCACAATAAAGGCCACATGGGAGGTTCACAGATAAAACCCTTGTTAACATGAGCTTGTCATCCAAAATTACAAGACATACGAAGAAGCAAGACCCACAGCAGAATGACAGACTCCTGCAAATGCCACGTCATTTTCAAGCACGCACTGAAGATATCCAGACATTACCGTGTACATCACGTGATATGATTGAAAGCAAATCCCAATAAATTTCAAGAAATTGTCATCACGGCTCATGTGATCATTAAGTTAAAGATCAACAGCCAAAAGAGAGCTGAAAGATCAAGGCCCGCCTACTTGGATAGTAACCCGGGTCTCTTGTTCCCCTTCCCTGCATCTCGCTCCCTCCCCAAACTTCTGAAATCTCTAGAAAAAGGAGAAAAAGGATGAACGTGAAACTGAATAGAAGGCAGCCACACAGGAGGCGCGCAGCCAATCTGAGTCAGAGCTGGATGGGAACAGGTCTCCCCTGGTCCCTCTAGACGGAATGTGACCTTCATTAGAGCGGAAGACCAAAGTGTTCTCTGTCTCTTCCAGAGGGTGAGCTCAGAGTGTGACAAAGATGTGAGTCTCTGTTTAAGCGACAGCTGCTAGCAGGCAGCCTTTAGGAG